CATAAGTTTTGTTACTTGAAGTATCTTTGTCAGGGGAAATATAAAACTTTAAATGTTTGTGACACAGCATATATCAAAAGCACCTGAAATAATCTCCTTGGAGGGAGGGAGAGAGGATATTTAGGCATGTCTAGGAACATCTTAAATTCTGAGTACTAAGATGGAAAGCTTACCCGGTGCTTTGCCTTAATTTTCTTCCTATATTCTTCTTTGTCAAATTTATCCTCCTCCTGAAGCCTCTCCTTGGCTTTATCTAAGTTGATACCACCAGTACCGTCCTCTTCCTCAGCACTCTTCACCATGGATTTCTGCATTGGCGGCCACTGCTGAACCAACTGGGAAGAGAAAACAGGGTAAGTGTAAAGGTGGGAACATTAACACAAGACAATTTCCCTTGGGATAATGACTTCCAAATAGTACACATGTAATCACTTACTGCCTTAAAAACTCTTTTTCTTAGCTTTCTACAAGTCTCTTCTCCAAACTATTTCATGGAACTTTTTTAATGCCGTACTTTCCTCGTTGGATTTTGGTAGTACTTTGCCTTGATTGAAACCTTCTGCCATAGCCTCATTTTAATCATACAGGGTCACTAGGAGTGGCATCGACTGAGTTTAGTTTTTCTCTCACAGAACCTGAACTCCTCAAGGGCAGGCATCTGTCTTGTTACCAGACCCTGGCACATGCTGAGTCCTCAGAAGCGACCGAAGACTAAATGAGGCACACGCTGGCCAGGACATTGGACTGACAGAGCAAAGCTAACAAAGAAAATTAGCTTGGGTTTCACAGGCCTGCTCAATCTCTAGTATTGTCCACATACAGCTGACGGTTAGAAACAAGCTGACAGAAAATAGGAATCAGGTGGGCTGGTTTAATGTCTTGCCTTTTTCACTTAGGCCACTGCAGGATCCTAAATGAATAAAGAGGTCTGCTTGAGTGCTATCAAGTCTGCTGACTCATAGCAACCCTATAAGCAACAGAACAAACCACCACCTCACGTCCCGGGGCATCCTCACAAGTGTACTTAGGTTTGAGCCCATTGTTGCAGCCACAGTGTCAATCTTTCTTGTTGAAGGTCTTCCTCTATTTTACTGCCCCTCAATTTTAACAAGCTTGACGTGTTTCTCCAGGGACTGGTTTCTCCTGACAACATGTCCAAAATATCTAAGACAAAGTCTTACCATCCTTGCCGTAAAGGAGCACTCTGGCCATACTTCTTCCAAGACAGATCAATTTGTTCTTTTGGCGGTCCATGGAACCGCTTTCACTATTCTTCTCCAGCACAATTTGATGCATGCATTCTTCTTCAGTCTTCCTTATTCAATGCCCGCCATGCACGTGCACGTGAGACAATGGGAAATACCATGGATCGGGTGCACGTTAGTCCTCAATGTAACATTATTCTTTTTGAACACTTTAAAGAAGTCTTAAGCAGTAGATATACTCAAGGCAATGTGTCATTTGTTCTCTTAACTGCTGCTTCCAGGAGCACTGGCTATGGATTCAATTAAGATGAAATCCCTGACTGTTTCAATCTTTCCTCTATTTATACGGCTTTTACCTATTGGTCCAGTTGTGAGAACTTTGGTTTTCTTTACATTGAGTTGTAATCCATACTAAAGGCTGCAATCCTAGATCGTCATCAGCGAGTGCTTCCATTCCTCCTCAATTTTAGCAAGCAAGTTGTGGCATCTGCATACTTCAGGCTAATAAGCCTTCCTCCAATATCTAGCCTGAATTCTTCTTCATGTAATGCAGCTTCTCTGATTATTTGCTCAACATACAGATTGAATAAGTATGATGAGAGGATACAACCCTGACAGACACCTTTCTTAATTTTGAACTATGCAGCATTTCCATTTTTTGTTCATGCACCGGCCTCTGGATCCATGTACAAGTTCTGCAGGAGCACAATCTAGTGTGCTGGGATTCCCATTCTCCTCGGGGCTATACTTTGTTGTGATCCACACAGTCGATATAAGTAGCTATCTTTCTGGTATTCTCTGCTTTCAGCCAAGATCCATTTTATATCAGCAATGATATCCCTTGTTCCACGTCTTCAACTCAATCTGGTCTGAACTTCTGGCAGCTCCCTGTCAATGTAGTGCTACAACCATTACTTGATCTTTCAGCAAAATCTTGCTTGTAATGTGTTATCAATGCTGTTGCTCTATAAGTTGTGCATTCTGTTGGGTCACTTTTTGAAGTGGATCCAAATATGGATCTCTTACAGTCAGTTGGCCAAATAGCTGTCTTTCAAATCTTGGCATAGACAAGTGCGTGTTTCCAAGGTTTCATCAGCTTGTCGAAGCATTTCAATTGGTATTCGATCAATTCCTGGAGCCTTGTTTGGCTTATGCTTTCAGTTCAGCTTGGACTTCTTCCTTCAGCACCACTGGTTCTTGCTTATATGCTACCTCGGATGTGGGTGAATGTCAACTAGCTCTTTTTGATAAAGGGGCTCTGTGTATCCTTTCCATCTTCTTTGGATGCTCTCTGCATCTTTCAAAATTTAGCCCATAGAAACGTTCAAGATTTTTCTTGAGTTCTTTCAATTTAAGAATCAATGATTCAGGTCTGTCTAAATAAGCTATGCTGGATGAACAATCTGGAGGAGAAAACAACTTGACCGACAGTTCTGGGGGGGAAATAGGAAAGGGGGAGTGGGGGGAAAGGAAGTGGTGTTAACAAACCCAGGGACAAGGGAACGACAAGTTGATCCAAATCGGTGGTGAAGAGGGTGTAGGAGGCCTGGTAGGGTGTGATCAAGGGTAATGTAACCAAGAGGAATTACTGAAACCAAAATGAAAACTGAGCATGATAGTGGGACAAGAGGAAAGTCAAAGGAAACAGAGGAAAGAGCTGGGAGGCAAAGGGCATTTATAGAAATCTAAATCAAGGCATGGACATATGTAAATATATTTATATACAAGGATGTAGGAATAGATTTTTGTGCCGATATTTATAGATTTAGTATTAAGGTAGCAGAAGGACATTGGACCACCACTCAAGTACTCCCTCAATGCAAGAATACTTTCTTCTATTAAATTGGCATTCTATGATGCTCACCTTCCCGACACAACCGCTGAA